TCTAGCAACCTGCTGGAAGCGTTCACAAGGAGGCTGATACCCAGATAGTTGGAGGGTTGCTCTTATTTAACAATGGACCACCAGCTCGGTCCTCCAGTCCACACGCATGGTTTGACTCCAAGAAACTGGATTGGACTGAAGTAAAAGTTCAGGTTAAAGTACTGAATTAACAAGCCGTGAGAAACGACCATACTGAGTGGACAACATTGAAGGACTTGGGTCATTTTAATGCAAATAACCTGCAAAGAAAAACACGTTTTCTCTCTTTTGAAACACATCTTCCTCTTCTTACTTCAGCTGCGACGATGACAGATCTCTCTTCCTTCTGCTTATCATCTGAAATCTTATTGTTCAATCGGCAACTCATGATGAAGAATCAAAAACAGCACAAGCTCTCTAAGTGGTTTTAAAGAAAACACCTTTGACTGGAAACAATATGAAACAATATACAAAAATATGGATCTCTGTATTGTTAAGAAATCCTAATGAGCTGCACTTTAGTAAGTCGCTTTATTCAACTTATGAAACTTTATGGGGAAAATATATGAATATATATTTACTTTGCTGTCTCTAAATTATGTGGCCGTGTTAAGATGCTGGGTGACATCAGATTCATAAAATACAACATAAACTTTTGGAAATCGTAGCAGAGCTGCCATGTAACACAACACAGCCAACGTATGCAATGAGGGGAGCAATTGTTTCTACCCTCCTCTAAAATCTAGATGAACTATACATGTTTTAACTCATCATTTATCTAATAGAATGAATAAGTTGGCTAAGATTGTTGACTGTTACTCTCGTTACTGTGGAGACTCAACAATTGATGAAGATCACACATCATCATGAATGTGCAGATCTTCTCAGTAAAACTTTGCGATGTGATTGGTGGCTCAAAGGCCAACAGGATGGTGTGAAGAGACTTAAAAAGCCAACACTTTCACACCAGGAGGGCAGTCCAGAAGGAGAACGACAGCGATGGCTTGTCTTACGTCTCTTCTCGTTGTGCTGTGGGTCGGTGAGTCACTAAGTTTATATCAAGTTCCTTCAAAGTGAATTGCTGTTTTCTGTTCTAACTCACAATGATGGAGGACTTTGTGTTTCAGGTGTCACAGTGGGCACGGTGGTGGATCTGCAGAAGAGAATCCTCGGAGGTCGAGATTGTGCCAATGACGAGCGTCAGTACCATGTGGTTTTAGAAATCTACAATGGTACCCATGAGTTCCTCTGTGGCGGCTCTCTGATCAGTGACCGGTGGATTCTGACTGCAGCTCACTGCTTCAAACCAAGAGGGTGAGAAAGTGACAACTTGACTTTAAAACTAGTCACCATGTTTCTCATTCCTGAAGTCAGTCTGAAAGCAGCAGTCAGTAGTGATCTGATGGAAAACTACAGCAGTCACATTATGGAGAAAGCATTGATAATGTTCATGTTCAGTAACTAATGTTACGCTACGATGCATCTATAGTAGTTCACTGATGTTTCTCTCTATCTTTTACTTGTAGGACTATTGTAGCAGTTTTAGGTGGACACCTACATCCAGAAGATAGAGTGTATATACCAGCCACACCTGAGATCTTTAGAGACCATGACATCATGCTGCTGAAGCTACCTGAACCCACTGATATTCCACCTGTACCACTTCCTGACTGTGACAATCCACCCAACGAGTG